CTGATGTCCGACTTAGTCAATACAATGTGTACACATACACACACATGTGTATGTGCGTAAATTTGAATTTCATTTTTAGAAAGAAGTATATTGATAGTTCCATAATTAATTTATTATAGAGATTACTTTTTTTTATAGAAAAGGGGCAAATGAGCATGCGGCTCACCTGATGGTAAGTGACTACCGCCGCCCATGAACAACCGCAACACCAGAGGAATTGCATATGCGTTGGCAGCTTTTTCGAAAGGTGTAAGCTCTTTTCTTGAAGGTCCCTAAATCGTATCGGTCCGGAAAAATATCTGGTGGTAAAGAATTCCACAGAGAAGTTGTACGAAGAAGAAAACTCTACTATTTTGGTAACATAAAAAACCGTGTAAGGCTAGTTCTGTATAGAGTTAGTTGTTGTGAAAACTTTATCCTTGCGTCACCAATTCCTAAAATCATGTGATTCATATTTTAACTGGGAATGTTGTTTAAGGTACATACTGTATATAAGATGTAGATGCCTAAAGCTGCTGGACGGTTGCGACTTTCCATTTTTTTGGTTGTGTGAACTTTTTCAGCTTGTGTCATTGGGATTACGACACGAGTACGTAGCAATTCGATACGTATGGTCTAGCTTATCAGTGGTTTTAATAGAAAAAGGCGATGTAATCTATTTTTGCAACATTGAGGGTTATAATGTTCTTGTTAAGACAAACTAGTTAAAGTGTTCATTCTTCTCTAAGTATTTGAAAAAATGTCATCCCATGTTACCACTGAAAGGGAGGGCCATATCGTCTACGAAGGCAATAATTTTTGAATTAAGAATTTCCACTTGACAAAGATCATTTATGTACACAAGAAAGAGAATGGGACCTAGAATGCTTCCCTGAGGAATTTCAAAAGTTACAGGGACCTCTTCGCTAATGATGTTATTAATTTGTACACATTGTGTTGTGTCAGTTAAATCAATCTTGCAGAAGTTTCTAATGGAGATTCTGATACAAGGTATTCAAGTTTTTTAATTAAAATTGAGACAGAGACTGAAATCCTGTGCCCAAAATACACCTATAGTTTTTTTTTATCATTGACACCATTAACTATGTCATTTGTTAGTTCAAACACCATGTCTGTTGTAGATCTATTCACCCTAACACCAAATTATGTTTGCTATGATTTGTTTGTTTTAAAACAACCTACTCGTTCCACGTTTTTGCTTTACTCTACCTACTTATTATTTTACTATAATTACTTTAAATTTAAAATATATGTTATAATCTCCTGTATCACGATTATTTACGAAATGTATGTGATTTTACGCTCATCGCCTACAACTATTCTTTATTTATATACCTACATTTAGTTTGTAATATAGATATATAATATTTAATGCACCTAGTTTTAGTTGAATATTAAATGTTATTTCTGTAATGTAGTGTAATGTGTAGATTAGAGTATTATGCAAGCAATGGGGTACGGAAAAACACAAATGAGTTTATGTTTACACCAAAACTGTCTTTGTAATTAAAATTTTTTTAGGTAAATAAATAAAATAAAAAAATTGTAGTTTTTTATTTTCTAAGTATTTTACTTTTTTATTAAAATTTATTTTATATCTATTATTATAGACCAATTTCTTATTTTCAAAAAGGTCTATTATTATTGACACAGCTTCTGTCTCCGGTTTTATGAATCGGATGGATTCGCAACTTCTTGCATATCCTCGGGAATACTACAGTTGAAAGTATATAGGTTATCATGATTTTTATACATTTTAAAATATGTAGAGTTGTGCAGGACTTCAAGATTTTTTCATTGAATTTTCCACATGGAAATTTTGACTTCTCTTAAATTTGCCATAATAATCGACTGAAGTATGATGTGGAAGAAAGCAGCAGGTTCATTAACTTAATCTTTGATCGTGTACAAATAACTAAAATCCTTATTGTTTGTTCTGAGTATAAATGCTTAAAAACGTATTTAAATACTTTTGCAGGTCAGGGAGCAACGATAATTTTGTCTTTAGTATTACAATATCCAAACATGTTTATTATGGGTCAGAAATACGTACGCAAGTAACATTCCGTGAAATGCCAACATATCTAAATATGTAAAAGGTTTGAATCTCTATTTGGTTATGTTAATATTAATATTACTTAACATATGACATTTCACTTACTTGAATACTTTAGTAATATACCGTTATGGTATTGAGGAAAATTATTGATCTTCTTCTGTGTGGAATAGCAATTAGCGTCTGATATATATTAGATAGATTCCTCCATTGAGATAACCAATTCTTTTCAAGTAAGATTGTTAATATAAGCAATGTTATTGTATCCATCTAAAAGATGTATGCAGTGTATGGATGATAGTCAGCATTCAGTAAGCACAATACAGTCCCAGTCCACTATTATTCGTACAAGAATTAACAGTAACCCAGAAAAATTAAGTACATATTAAACTAAAATGTTTTGTTGAAAAACTTTTAGAGATTTGTTCGAGTAAGGTAAAAGAGACAAGTAATCCTCATCATCGCATATACTGAAATCTGCTACGCTAAAATAAATACACTGAAAGGGTAATAACAATAACTTTTCGTAAAAAGTAAAATCGATTTCAAACAACTAAAAGTTTCAAACAATTTCACATTCTGAAGTCGGTGTTTTAATTCTTTACAATATGTTTTAGCACCGACAATGTGAAATTATAACTATTTTTATTGTTGTTTTATAAATACTAGGAAATCTATAAAGGACGGATACTACTTTGTTACCGTAAAACCTGGCAACTTTGCCATTTTGGATTGACTTAAATGTTTAGGACGAATCATCCAACAAAGGTAGGCTCAATCTAGGCGTTAATGTTAAAAGTGACACAATATTCTTCATAGATTTGATATTAATTATTAACATTAAATAGATAACACACTTAAAAATCGAAAATTGCAAAGTTAACCTCACTTTGTGGAAACTTTGCCATGAGGGTTTATAATGAAAAGAATAGGATTTGATTTCAAGGTTGAAGGTACGAGTAAGGTTACCTCATAATATAATACACAACACTCAGTTATGATTTGCTCCTTTAATTGTGTTGCAAATAGCAAAATTTACGCTTGTGGCAAAATTTCCCTCCCATTTTTCAATTTTTTATACAAAATTGAAAATGTGTGTCAGGGTTGTCAAAAATACTTTATTACGTACTTTACTTAATTTTCTTATTAAAATTTTATCACAATAATTTCTTAAGCAAAATTCTAAAATATATTATATAAAAAATTCTCTTCTAAAAAATAGAAAATAGAAAATCAAATTGGTGCAATAATAGTCTTAAATCAATTACATATAATAAAAGATTAAAAAAACTTGTCACAACATTTTGAACAAGTATTCGTTTTTTTATTAGTCATCATCATCATCATCATTTCATTACGATCAGGTAAAAAAATAATTGTAATCAATCTAAATATTGTTTTTCCACAATAACAACACATGTACAATTATTATTATTAAAAATGATACTGCACAGATGTTTTTACACTTAAAAGAAGATTCCAACACTGTTTCAAGATCATTGTGTTACGAGCTTGGGGTTCGGGACAATTAAAAACTGCCGATTACCAAAATTGACACTTTAATTACACGACACTAATTACAATCTAAAATCACACTAATAATAAAACACAGTTCGCCGTTATTTCGCTTCGAAGTATTCTCTTGTATCGCCAATTCAATAGTGCCCTGGTCGTGGTCTATACCGGCCTTATATAGGGCCTCAGATAATTTCCGGAACCTTCTACTGTAGCGACATCTAGAATGTTCGAGTACATATCGGTCCCGAAATTTCTGGAAGGATCTCGACTCTCGTAGTTCTGCTACTCGACACTAGAGGGCGCTAGTGTAACTAGTGTTGCCATGTACAAGACATTAATAGTGGCGCGCAACACTTTCTTTTACTTGACACTAGAGGGCGCTTGTGTAACTAGTGTTGCCATGTACAAGACATTAATAGTGGCGCGTAACACTGCCCCCTCCTAAGACATGCTCGTCCCGAGCATTATTGGCACCATAATAACGCGCCAGTCGATCCACATGGACGATCTTAGGAGTACCTCTGGCACCTTTCTGTATCCGGTAGGTTACGTCATTGATCCTTGTCACAATCCGGTACGGTCCGTCCCATTTAGCTTGAAGCTTAGGAGATTTCCCTTTGCTGCGAACTGGATTGTGTAACCACACTAGTGAACCTTCATCAAACCCCTTGTTGTTCATTTTGCGGTCATACCGTGTTTTCATCTTCTCAGACGTTTGCTGGCCCGTCTGTCTGACGTGCTCATAAATCTCATTCATTTTGTTCCGCAAGTCATTTGCATAATCGGTTATACTGCGTGGGGCATCAGGTGGTATTCCGGTGATCAGGTCTGCAGGCAGCCGCAATTCTCTCCCAAAGTTTGCGAAAGCTGGCGTCAATGATGTACTTTCGTGAACAGCGCTTCGATATGACAACAAAAACGGTTGTATGTGCCTGTCCCAGTCTCGTTGCCGTTTTTCCACAACTTTTGCTAGGTACCTCTCCAATGTCTGATTAAATCTTTCTACCATTCCATCAGATTGTGGGTGGTAAGAAGTTGTTCGTGTTTTCTGAGTACCCATAACTCGGCAAGTTTCCTGGAATATTTGAGACTCAAAATTCCTTCCTTGATCGCTGTGAATCTCTAAAGGTACTCCAAAACGACAGAAGACTTCATGAACTAGTTTATCTGCAACTGTTGAAGCTTCTTGATTTGGAATGGCGAAGACTTCTGGCCACTTAGTGAAGTAATCCATCACTACCATGAAATACTTGTTACCACTTTCAGTTTCTGGAAACGGCCCCGCAACGTCAATGGCTATCCTCTCCCATGGTGCACCAACATTGTACAATTTCAATGCGCCTCTACTACGAATTTGAGGTCCCTTTACAGCCGCACAACTTGTACATTTGCGGCACCAGTCCTCGACATCGTCACGACAGTGGACTCAGTAAAACCGTTCTCGGATCTTCAGGAGAGTTTTTTTAACTCCCAGGTGGCCTCCTGAACAACCACTATGGTACAGCCGTAGAATATCCGGCACTTTAACCTTAGGGACAACCATTTGCAAATGACACCTGTCTCCCCGACCATTTTCCCATTTACGGCACAGGACTCCATCCTGAATCAGCAAGCTGTCCCATTGGGCCCAATAGCTTTTCGTGGTCGAACTCATTGCTGAGACGTCGCTCCACTTGGGCTTAGGAGCACTGGCCTTCATCCATTCCAGAATCGGCTTAATGTCCGAATCTTCCTGCTGTGCATGTTGTAGGCTGTCCTTCCACTCATTGCTGAGCTGGTCTGTCCTGAGCATTCTCACAGATACCACTTCCTTACCCTCTTGCCTAGTACAATGCTTGCAATCTTCAGGGCAAGGTCTTCTTGACAATGCATCTGCATTGCCATGAGATTTCCCGCTGCGATGTTCGATCACAAAGTCGTATTCCTGCAGTAGTTCTATCCATCTCGCAACTTGTCCTTCCGGATTTTTGAACTGCAATAGCCATTTCAGTGCAGCATGGTCAGTTCGTAAGTGGAATTTCCGCCCTAGAAGATATTTGCTAAAATGCTGCAAGGACTTTACCACAGCAAGCAATTCCCGTCTTGTGACACAATAGTTCCTTTCCGGCTTTGACAACGACTTGCTGAAGTACGCTATCACAATCTCTTGATCACCATTCCGTTGAGACAACACACCGCCAAGTCCTATATCACTTGCGTCTGTGTTAACTATGAATTCCTTGCCCGCATCAGGGTACCCCAAAATAGGTGTTTTGCACAGGCGGTTCTTGAGCTCCTGGAATGCAATATCGCAACTTTCATCCCAGCAGAATTGTCGCTTCTCCTCGGTTAGCTTGTGCAGAGGTTTGGCTATATTTGCAAAGTTCTTCACAAATCGCCGATAATAAGAGCACAAACCCAAAAATGCTCTAACCTGTGTCTTGTCTTTTGGGACCGGCCACTCCTTGACAGCAGCAATTTTCTCTGGATCCGTGCGGATACCTTCTTCCGACACTACATACCCCAAAAAACTAACTTGCCGTTTGAATAGTGAGCACTTCTTTGGACTCAACTTGAGGTTGGCACTCTGGATCTTCATGAGCACGCGTTCCAGGTTTTGAAGGTGTTCCTCAAACGTACGGCCTACGATGATGATGTCATCCAAATAGACCAGACAAGCATCTCCAATTAGCCCGGTAAGTACAAGCTCCATCAACCTTTCAAACGTTGCTGGAGCATTGCACAATCCAAACGGCATGACTTTAAATTGCCACAGACCCTTTCCTGTGGAAAATGCAGTTTTCTCCTTGTCCTTAGGGTCAATTTCAACCTGCCAGTAGCCACTTTTCAGGTCCAGCGTACTAAACCACTTTACGCCTGTGAGCATATCCAGCGTGTCATCAATTCTAGGCAAGGGATAGCTGTCCTTCTTCGTAACGTCGTTCAGGCGGCGGTAGTCAACACAAAACCGCATGCTGCCGTCCTTCTTCTTTACCAGCACCACAGGTGAACACCATGGACTAGATGAAGGTTCAATAACACCATCCTTCACCATTCCCTCAATCATGGTTTCCACTTCCTTTTCACGTGCTACAGGCAATCTTCTTGGCCGCTGACGAATAGGCAATTCTTGTCCTGTGTTTATTTTGTGTTGAACTAAGCCAGTCTTTCCTATGTCAACTTCGTTTGACGAGAAAACATTGGCGTACTTGAGTAACAACTTCTTCGCCTTGACCATTTCATTCGGGGAGAGAACGCTGCGACAGTCTTCTAAAAGTGTGGTCACTCTCGTTTGTCCATCCTTGCTAGGGGTCCCGGTCGATAGATATTCGCACCGACGCAACCAATCCACTTCCTCACTAGTACCAACCAATGTGCATTTTTCTATAATCTGTTCCTGATCACAAAGGTTCAACACACGTACTCCTGAGATGTCGGTGGTTCTGACCAAGGTTCGAGCCACTTTCCATGGAAGGTCATTGTCTACCCTTTCCACGAGTACACAACGATGAGCTTGCCCAGGACTCCGAGGAAGACTAACCGGCACAATCGTTTCCGATCTCGGCGGAAGAACAATCTTCTTAAGGCTGTACACATTCCCTGGTAACGCCCCTTCCATGAAAAGTTCTTCTTGTCCACATTTCAAAACACCTTGCTTAACGTCAATCTCACAACAATTCTTCCTCATAAAGTCTAGGCCCAGGATGCAGTCGTCCATTATATCAGCCACGATGACATTATGCAGGTAGATCATGTTGCCTAGCTTCAACTCCATCTCCTTCTCTCCACGGACGGGTATGCGCTGACCAGTGGCTGTCACCAAATTAATGCGTTCTCGGTTGTATGCGGAGTCACCAAGGAACCGACTTATAAGTTGGGAACTGACAACCGTGCGAGAGGCTCCAGTGTCTATGGTCAGTTTACATGGCGTTCCGTTGACTTCGCCCTTGATGATTAGGCTGTTCCCATCATGAGTTTGTGAGATCGAAATCCTTGGGGCTCTTTTAACATCAGCCAGCACCCGCCAGTTTCCCTGCTGCTGCTGGGCGGTGCTATTATCCGCACTACCCTCTCGAGATCGATCACCTTCCCTTTTTACAGTTCGCTTAGGGCAGCTGGATCGAAGATGGCCCCTTTCTCCACAGCCGTAGCACCTAGGGCTGTAGCTTTTATTGCGGTCCTGAACTTTAGCTGCTGCAACCTCCCTGACGCGGTGGGAACGATGATCCTGCCGCACGGCTTCCACCTCCAGTGCATGGGTCAAGGCGTCCTTAAGCGTCTCGTGGTGCCCGAGCCTCACAGCAGCTCTGACTTCAAGGTCGCGGATGCCGTCGATGAATGTCTGCACCAGGTTCCCTACAATAAGCGCATGTACAGACTGGTACGCTTTTCGAACCAGCTTCTCCACCTCAAGGGCCCACTGCTGCAGGTTTTCGTTACTGCGTTGCACGCGATCTTTGAGCTGCGCACGAAAGACGTGTTCCAGGTGAGCGTCGCCATATATCGCCTCCAATGCCTCAAGGAGCTGCTCGTAAGTCACTTCCTTACCGAGAGCTTCCAGAACAGTTAATGCCTGGTCGCGCAGGCCTAGGGTGAGAGCAGTCATGACCTGACTTTTATTCCAGCCGTTCGCTTTCATGACAGCCTCGAACTGGATTTTATAGGCCGACCAGGAAGAAGTCCCGTCGAACGGTGGCACTTTGAATCCACGTAGCGAAGGTGTTGTAGCTACCACGGGAGCTGTAACTCCATCCCCAAGTTTGAGGTCGTCCAGCGTTTTCTTCACATCAGCCATCACGTTGTCAACCCGATTGTTCACTTGGTCGATTCGGGTTTCAGCTTCCGACAGGCGGTTGTCATGTTGAGCAACCCTATCCTTCACCTCCTTTATCTCTTTCCCGAAGGTAGCGTGAAGGTCCTTCCTGAGGAGCATCTGTTCTTCCATACCGCGCTGCAGCTGCTCTTCCAGCCGACGGGTCTGTTCCTCCTGTCGGCGGGCCTGTTCCTCCTGTCGGCGGGCCTGTTCCTCCTGTCGGCGAGCCTGATTCTGCAGCATCATCATCAGAGCACCCAAGTCAGGTGCTGCAGATGCAGGAGCTGCTGACGGGCCAGCCTCTGTGGTTAGCAACTGGCCCCCCGACGTTTGCGGCGTTGCATTACCAAATCGTCTCTGGTCCGTCTCCTGTTGGCGTTGACTTCGGGTACGGATACCCTCCGTGTCGTCTTTCGGTAAAATCGGCATATTTGATCCCACTTCTGACACCAATTGTTACGAGCTTGGGGTTCGGGACAATTAAAAACTGCCGATTGAATTACCAAAATTGACACTTTAATTACACGACACTAATTACAATCTAAAATCACACTAATAATAAAACACAGTTCGCCGTTATTTCGCTTCGAAGTATTCTCTTGTATCGCCAATTCAATAGTGCCCTGGTCGTGGTCTATACCGGCCTTATATAAGGCCTCAGATAATTTCCGGAACCTTCTACTGTAGCGACATCTAGAATGTTCGAGTACATATCGGTCCCGAAATTTCTGGAAGGATCTCGACTCTCGTAGTTCTGCTACTCGACACTAGAGGGCGCTAGTGTAACTAGTGTTGCCATGTACAAGACATTAATAGTGGCGCGCAAGACTTTCTTTTACTTGACACTAGAGGGCGCTTGTGTAACTAGTGTTGCCATGTACAAGACATTAATAGTGGCGCGTAACAATTGTAAAGTTTTAGTTGATCAATAAAGATTTTATTTATTTATTTTTATACTGTTTTTAATAATAATAATAATTAAAGTATTTGAACAAATTAGTTGAAATTATGAAAAACACTGAGTAGTAATAATATTATGAATGCCCGACAACGCATAATATAGATTTCTCTTTTCTTATCCTTCACTTTTGATAAAGATGAATAGATTGACAACTTATTTAGTAAAATTATAATTAAAATATTTGAATAAATTAGTTGGAATTATGAAAAAGATTGAGTAGTAATAATATTATGAATGCTCGACAACGCAAAATATAGATTTCTCTTTTCTTTTCCTTCACTTTTGATAAAAATGAATCGATTGACAACTTATTTAGTAAAATTATAATTAAAATATTTGAATAAATTAGTTGGAATTATGAAAAAGATTGAGTAGTAATAATATTATGAATGCTCGACAACGCAAAATATAGATTTCTCTTTTCTTTTCCTTCACTTTTTATAAAAATGAATCGATTGACAACTTATTTAGTAAAATTATAATTAAAATATTTGAATAAATTAGTTGAAATTATGAAAAAGATTGAGTAGTAATAATATTATGAATGCCCGACAACGCATAATATAGTTTTCTCTTTTCTTTTCCTTGACTTTTGATAAAGATGAATCGATTGACAACTAATTTAGTAAAATTGGACTAATGGGCTGCTATGGAGAATCTAAAGAAGAGAAAAATATAAAGACATTGATACAAACATCCAAACGTAGAATGTCAAGTACAGAACCCTTTCTTTAAATTGTCGTTATCGGTTGAAATATATGTTGAAAGTGTCAATTAGTTATTGTATTTTCATCGAAAAATGGCATATCCCAAAAACGTAACGTTTTCCGTGTTAATCGTAATTTTGTAACAGTACACCCCTGATGGCAAAGTTAACTTCCATTGGTAAAGTTGCCAGACTTGATTGTAGCGGGAGGAAAAACATACTAATGTGGCAATCAAACTATCGTCACTTCGATGTACATATACAGTAATCTATGACCCCCATACATACATATACAGTAATATACGTACCCCTAGTATATATACAGTAATCTATGACCTACCCGTTGAAGACTTTATCTAAATTGTTGTTATTCCATTTTGTAAATAGGACTTTAGTATAAGCAATATTTTTTTTTTTGAAATTTTCACGTAGTAGAGCCATGCTGCAGCTATATTAGTAGTATAGTTGTAACACGAATGGGTCGGCTTAACCGGGGAAGGACCACGCTCTCACACAATACCAGCGTAAAATTGCAGCTTAACACTGCCGTGTTTCGTATGGTGGAACCGGAAACCCTTTTTACTGGAAAAGAGGCATTCCATCTTAGTCCTTACGGGTGACAACGCATCTGCATTTTGATTCTTTATTGAGGATAGATGTGGATGTCTAGGAGTCACAGCAACCAGTTACCATCAGGTGGACTGTGTGCTCGTTTGTCACCCTATCCTATAAAAAAATGCTGCAGCTATATTATTTATTGTAGCACGAATGGGTCAGCTTGACCGGGGAAGGACCACGCTCTCACAGAATATCGGCGTAAAATAGCAGCTTAATGCTGCTGTGTTTCGTATGGTGAGTGTAGAGAACTGGAGACCCTTTTTACTGAAAACGAGGCATTCCATCGTAGTCCTCAGGGGTGACAACGCATCTGCATTTTGACTCTTAATCGAGGATAGATGTAGATGTCTATGGTTCACTGTATCCACTTACCATCAGGTGGGCTGTATGCTCGCTTGTCACTCTTATTTTATAAAAAAGGCAATATACCAATAGAATATGCAGTATTACTCACATTTTTTGCATTCACATCACATCTGGTATTCTATTGTGGAAGGGGCACATGTAAAACAAGTGAATTATGTGGCAATGGGCTTCATTTTATCTCCTCTTGTTGTCGATATGTTAATGAAAAACTAAGAGAGAAAGCCCTTCTTACTTTTCCTGCAAATCTGTGATTCTCTGAGCAGAGCTGTTTAACTGCAATTTGAGACCTCATGAGACCATATAGTATGTCATAATTTTAGAATTTAAGACAATTAGCTTTCCTGCATGTATTTGTAACTCGGAACCCTAGTAACACTCTGACCAATAAGTCACAATCCAAGATCTGGCCGCCTCCAAAGCCGATAGATTTGACGATCCAATCTAATCCTTAACGTTTCTGTATGCCTTACATTTTAATTCCAACTGGAATGTTAGTCACATACCATCAGATGAACGGTTACGGTTAACCTATAGTTGTATTATCACTCTAAACTCTTTCTCTTTCTCTTTTTTATAGGATAGAGTGACAAACGAGCACACAGT